TTTTTATATTTTACATTTATATTTATTATTGAAACTTGCACCAAGGGAGTGGCACTCCAATTTCGTTGTACTCTGTACAATGACAATAAAGGCTATTCTATTCTATTCTATTCTATTCTATTCTATGTCAAGCTATATAGTTTATGTCTTGCATATTTCCAACCATATCCATCATCACATACTGTGTATGCTACCATTGTATACAGTGTATTATCTTACTTTTTTTTTCATTGATTGTACTTTTTTGTATTTTTGTATTTCCTTCTGATATCTGTAACACAAAAAATTTCCCCGTCGTGGGATCAATAAAGTCTTATCTTATCTTGTCTTATCTTATCTTATCTTAGCTTAGCTTAGCTTAGCTTAGCTTATAGCTTATTCTATAGATGTCTCATCAAATCATAATGAGTTTTACTTTGATATGTCAAACATTAACTCTTGGTTTTGGATAATTAGCATGTTGCTCTCAGTCACACTACATAATAGTGTATTCTGACCAAACTTAAATTTCAGTTCACTTTTCCCATCTTTACTATCAGAGCAAGAAACACCAGTTTGTGTCAAGCTTTGTCCTTAAGCCTACATTTCTGCTTTCAGTGAGCATCGTCTTGTTTCTTTTTTTAACACAATCAAGTTTTGAGTCTTGGCTGCCTTTGCAGTTCATTAATAATGAGCATTAATCCAGGCAGTTTCAGACACATCCAAATACCACGGATTCATGAATGCCCAATGATTCAATTCAATATTTCCAACCCTCTATGCTGACGCACACTGCACACAGTTATAAACACACTTTTTATGAGACATTGTTAACTACTTTGTGATATGAAATACAATTTCACGTGAAACTGTACTGGCAGAAGCTAGAGTTCGTAATGGTAATCATTCATGGAGAATGATTTTCCAGTCATTTATGATGTGATCATGGATTTGAAATAACCTATCCCTTGTACCATGTATTCCTAGGAAGTTGTTTAGTAGCGACAAAAGACACACCCAGATACAGAGTCTCCAAGGGAGGTTACTCTGTGGCAAGACAAATAATGTTTCTTATGTTGCAATGTCCCTTCCTCTGCGCTTCTTGTTCTCACAACAACATCTGGAAATAAGTTAATTACTAACACAAATAATCTTATATCAGCTAGACATAACTCAGATGAGTCAAAGATCTGATGCCAGATATTTGTTGTTTCCTTGAAGGAGATACCAAGCAAATACTGGGAAAATATTACATAATACAATGACAACCACTATCTTTTGAAATTGTTTTGTTCAAGTAGTAGGACATTTGATTCTCACTCTCACCAAAAGAAGCTGAAATAGCCTCATATATTCTATACAGGTTGATCCCGCCTGTGGGGTGAATTAGATGGAGTTACTGTTGAAGGGTACCTGATGAACTCGTCTTTACATTTTTTGTACAGGTACCAACATTTAGAGAGACATATTTTTTATCTGTAAGTAACAGCATGGTGTAGTCTGCCATAAGTAACAGACTAAAACATAAAAAAGAAAAGATCAGCGCTTCTGTTGGGTTAATAATAATGGATTGCATTTATATAGCGCTTTTCGAAACACTCAAAGCGCTTTACAATTCCGCTATTCATTCACTCTCGCATTCACACACTGGTGGAGGCAAGCTATAGTCGTAGCCACAGCTGCCCTGGGGCAGACTGACAGAAGCGAGGCTGCCATATCACGCCATCGGTAGGTGAAGTGTTTTGCCCAAGGACACAAAGACCAAGACAGACAGAGCAGAGGATCAAACCAGTAACCTTCCAGTTACAAGATGAGCTTCCCAACCCCCTGAACCATGGTCTCCCCACAAACCATGGTCACCCCACGACGGTTACTGGTTGGTTTAGTTTTTCCTTAGAAAACTCATAATTCCTTGTTTGATTTTAGAACACAGATGTTTAATTATGTAGATTTGAGAAACCACAGTCTGAACATCTTCTATATCTCTTGGCAACGAACATTCATTGGGTTCTTTAAACGAAAGCGTCGCTCCTTTACGACTTTATTTGTCCAGTTCCATCATCAAGTTTAGCTCGTCATTAATCATGTCTGACTCAGTATAAGATAGATTGTGTGCAGTCTTTCTTAAGTGGATGTCAGAATTATTTTCCCAACAATGCCCAAGAATACAATAGCAAACGGGATCCTGAATTAGACTTTTAAATGTTATGTAGAAGAAGTAGCTGCAAAGAAGCTTTATCTTTCTTCCTTGTTTCACACTGGGGAGAGGGTATAGTAAAATCATAAACACAGAAATAGGCCAAAGTGCAATAAAACTAGATGTTCATGTTATAAACTTAATGCTGCTGGTAAAACAATTAAAAAAACACACAGTGGCAGATAAGTTAATGAATTCATTTCATTCATTCATTTATTTGTTCATTTTCAGACACAACAAATACCTATATTGAACATAAAATGCACAAAACAAAAAACAAAAATTGCCTGAAAAAGGAGTGGGACGAAGAAAACTTATTAAATCCCACCCCTATACGCACTCATCAACAAAAAAACAAACGTCCCGCAGGTACGCCCATCATTGCATACAGACCCATCAACAGCCTCGGGCACATACAAGCATCTAAACGGCAGCTTGCAAACAACAATTAGAGCCTAACGGTGTTTATTATGTGGCTTTAATTCAATTCAATAACATTTTTTATGTAGCATCAAATCACAACAGTTGCCTCATGGTGGTAAAGACTCCACAGTAAACTCCAAAAATCATATGTCCCCCTTCCCCCTTTGAGCAGGCATCTTGGCAACAATGGTAAGGAAGGAAAGACTTCCGTCTTTTATTTTGTCTATAAAGCTACTGTACTGTAAGTGATTCTCATTTCTTATGGCTCAGTATGCTCACCAGTCTCACTGAAACCACGAAAATGTTTATCTGTAACCCAGCTGCTTCATCGCTGTAGCACAGCCAGCTGAACTCACTCATCACAGGCAGAAAGATCCAGGTCAGTGCCACCGCACACTGTACAGACCACCAAGGGGACTTAAAGCTCAACGCTCTCCCAACGATAGTGATCTAAAACACACTGCTTGCTATTAAGAGACCTAAACTCTGCGCTCTCCTTTACATCTTTCTTGGTGTTGAAATTTGTGGGATGATGACACTCAACTTGCATGTTCGGGGGCTTTTCCACACCAAACCACAGTCACTGTTTTCAGTTTTAGTCTTTAGACAAGTGGATGAGCATTTTAGTCATTTATCAGTATTATTCATCGAAAACCAAAAACATTTCCTTCCACTTACCCAATTCAAGGTCAGTTCGAGGTGAGGGATATGACATGTTGAATCTATCCCAGCTCTAATCATGAAAGAGGTGGGGTACATCCTGTGTGGGGCTAACACAGATAACTGTTTCCACTCACAATCGCACCTATAAACTCACAAAGGCACAGTGAAACCATGCACACTCCCAGTAAGAACACACAGGCAAATATGATCCTATTTTAAGCTGTCAAATTTTAGTGAGCCTAAAATAGGTCTAGTGGATTAGAACACAGGGTACACATATCTGTGAGGCAACAATATAAACCACTGCCTTGCAGTGTCACATGTCAATCTAATCAAATCATGTTTTGTCTTTATAAACAACATGTCTAACACTGATTGATATATGGAACATTTATACTGTCCTGAAGCAAGGTGCTTTATAAACAACATGCTTAATTCACCTATTCACAGCCAGTTATACAAGCACTATTTCTATGCAGAACTGCTTGCTATCTAACATTCACACACATTCATACCCTGATGGATGCATCACAGAGCTACTTCGGTTTATTATCTTGCCCAAGGATATTTGGCATGTAGACAGGAGCAGGCAGGGATCAAACCACCAACCGATTGGTAGATGATCTGCTCTGCCTCCTGAGCTGAAAAAAAAAAAGAATACTGTACTCATAAATATACTACTCGCTTCAAGTGCCATTACCTGAACCGAAGTCAGGGCTCTTACACACAAAAGGATACATTAAAATGCTTATGTATTCAGAATATTGTCACAATTACTTAGTGTCAGAAGATTAGACATCTGGAATCCTGACAATGAAGCAGCTAAACAGCAACAGGTGGCTATAAGCTAACATTATGGCAGCTAATGTTAGGCTAGCGCTCAAATATGCTTCCTCTCTGATAAACAGCTTGATTAAATTCTCACATTAATTGAGAATTCATGTCCAAGTCCAACAATGCTGTGCCTTAACGTTAGCTAACACGGCACAGCAGAGCACAGCATGAGAAAACAGAATTCAGCTTACATTCTGCAATTTGCTGGCATTCATTAGCGATCGTGATCAGACCATTTATAGGGCCACAGTTCGCTAGTTTAGCTTGCTTTTTACATTACGTATGTGAAATGTGACACGTGTTTTGTCTGACGTTAACAGCCATTCACATAACTACATCTGAATGTGTGTGTGTGTGTGTGTGTGCGTACACATGTGCATGCTCAAGGATTTGGTAACAACAAAGGCTTCATAGAACATCTGTTCCTTTTAGAGATTAGTCTCAATTTTTATGTTGCAACGTTGGCTTGGCACGAAATAGCCGATTATAAGGGATCTCCGTTTGCAGCGCTAAATGTCTGCTGTTGTTTAGGAGGTTGGGGAAGAGTGAGGAACAGAACACAGTAGTACATCTTCAGTGCAAACGATTCCTTGTAAAGGGAATATAAGCCCTGTCTGCTTTTTGGAAAAAAAAACAAAAAACATCACACATTGTTCTCCACTTGATACTGTGAATACTTCATATTCCACGATGAGTGGACTAAACTTAATGTCAGCTATCTAAAACCTGTTGTTTGTTACTATGCTTAATGAATAGTGAAGTCTGCCAAGGAGAAGTGAAAGCTCCCTTGGAAGGACGATAGGGGTTCATAACAAATTTTCAACTTGATCAGACTTTGTTTCAACTATTTATTCATTAGTTATAGTTGGACCGGACCTGGTGCTGTCTGACACTGTCCAAGTGTCAGGAAGATACAGTCTGGACAACACACGTTCAAATACACCCATGCACTGCAATTCCAAACAAGAAACAATGGTTGGCAGGTTGGCAGAAATACTAACAGCAAAAGATGATAAGTCTAAAGAAATATTTAATTTAAAATGAAGAAAGAAGTGTGTTTTTTTTTCCTAAAAAGGAATTACATTCCCTGTGTTATCACTCGAAGCCCAGTTCAAATGTCATACCACTGTCAGCAGTTTGTAATGGGTGGGTATTTCCCTTTCTCATACACAACCCACACACAGACCTCATGATATGACCCATTCATGTTTCCTCACTGGTACTCTCTATTGTTGGAATTTGCAGTAGAATACACCACCTAGTGGAAAAGACAACCTCCTCTCATTACAAAGCTGAGACTACAAACACAAACGCCTTTAATGTTTACATTTAAATATCTTGCGCACTCACACTATAGTTCACAAGCTGTGACAGGAAAATTGAATTCCCATGCTGATCATTTTTTTTGTTCTGCCACATATCCAGTGTTAAAAAAGCAATAACCGCACGCTGTGATAAAAGGAACACTAAAACGGAGGTCAGTCAGTAGCTAAGTTTCTCCCTTCCTGCGTCATATTCTTTAATTGCTGCTGCTGCTGATCACAGGAAATGCCACTAAAGTGTTTATGGCTCTTTCGCATCACTTCCAGTGGAATAGCAGTCCCAGCAGGGCTGTGCTGGGACATCAGCTTGTCTTCTTTTGAGCTGTCTGCTCCATCTAATCCACTGCTAGAGCCACTCATCTGGAAATTATGAGTCACCTCTTTTTTAACCAGGTCCTCCAGGTCTGAAGAAAGAACAAAGGAATGTTTTTAAAGATATTATCTCACCCAGAGAACTGATTCATGCAGATGACCCTTTTATTTCTTTTCTCTTTTTTTGCTAGTTGGATATAAAAGAAGATTTACAAGTAAAGTGTTGGGTAAAACAAACATGAAGGCTTCCACAAACTTGAGCACGCTCCTGTGCATTTTTAATAAATTCATTTGAAGCTTATGAAAACGCATCAATCTTTTAGAAGCTGTAGTCAAACACTAATCAATATATATTTATGAGGAGAACATTTTTTCTAAATAATAACCTAGAAAAGGTCATCGCTGTACCTTTGATAAATGACAGAATCACTTAAGAATTGTATTTTCTATTAATTTGGATTATCTTTATCTAATATTTGATGATCTGAAACATTTAAGTATGAGAATCAGGATGAGGAGTTTATCACAGCACATCACTTTGATTTGTGATGTGTTAAATCAGTCTGTGATTCTCAGCTGATATAAACAAATATCATTTTAAACATGGCATGACTGATCTCAGCTCGTGTTCATATCACTCTCTTCTCATTACTTACACTGGAGTACCGTCCTGTTGACAAGCGTATAGGCTTGGATGGGGTTCCTGCTCAGGTCAATGTAGTAGTAGAACTTCAGCTCCTTAGGGTACTGAGAGTGGGACAGGCTGTGAAGCAGAGGAATCATCCTATTGGACATGGGTCCCTCTGTCAGTACCTGGTGCATCATATAATTACACCAATCATCCTGAACAAAATTAGGAGTGATAAGCAGAGCTCGTAAGTGACTGTTCTCCAATGCCTGACAAAACTCGGTGCAAACTGCACCTCCTGGACAGGCGTCCCTCTGCCACAGAAAGCATCTGAGGCTGCGGGGCGAATCCTCGAGGAAGGAGACCAGGCGTGTGGCCTCTTCAATGTCACTTTGGGCGCTGCTGTGACAAACAAATAGGTCATACTTTCTTTTCCATCTCAACTCACAACTGAGAACAGTAGGCAGCTGCCGTGGTTTCGAGGGGGTCCCCCCGGGTGATGATGACAGCGACGACGAAGAGCACGATGGTAATGTTGATGAGGATGATGTTAATGCACCACTAACAGAAGACACTGAACCTTTTGTGGCTTCTTTATTGTGTTGCTTTGATAAAGATCCTCTCGATTTCAAGAGTTTCTGGAACCAACCTAAAGGAAACAAAAAGATTTTAAGGTCGATTTGTTTTTCTTTTTAAGTATAAAGATTTCCTGACATTCCACACAACTTATGAAAAATCGTGTGAATAACAGTAGATATTTTTGTCACACGTGCACAAACAAATCCTCAAAAGGATTCTCATCAGATTTACACTGAAAGAAGTGACCAGAACGTTTTACTTACCGTGCATGTTGCTGAGGTCGTCATGGTTGTTCAAATCGTATCCAAAGTACTTCTGACAAATAGATATAGATAGTGATAGATAAATAGATAGTGTTGAATTCCATCGGTGGGAGCTTCTAAAAATCCAATTTCTCCACTCTTTAAAAACATCGCAACCCGAGGCTGTAGCCGAAAAGCTAACTTACACAATAGCAGCAAAGAGAAAGTCACTGATATCACCATAAAATGAGGAAGTTAGAGACTGCTGGAAGGGATGTCTCAGCATGTGCAGTCGAATTTCAAATGCAAAAACTGTCAGTTTTCACTGATCACCTTATTCATCGCTGTAAACTGACATTTGTCAAAAAAAAATATTTTGCTTTTTTTTAAACAATATGATAGAAAAAACTGATCTCATAAAGAACAAAATGAAGTGGGAAGCATGAAGACAAGGTGGGAAATGTTAATAGGCCTAACCATGTCCACAAATCTATTTCTGTAATCCATGTGTTACTATGGTTTGCATT